AAGCAGCTGAGCACTTAACTGCTGCACCACCAGGGCTCCTTTCCGCGCTTAGACTGAAGGATTTGATGCTCATTTCCAACTACCTTATTTTATAGATTGGGACGCATCTGATGGGACACAGCTGTCAGGGCAGGGCTGGGGCTGACTTTCTGGTCTGAGTCCCCGTCCATTTCCCCTACAGACATCCTGCCGACAGGTGTGTCTCCTGGGCAGGATGCAGGGGCCGCATCCGGGATGGGATTGTTGTAAGGAATCCCTGCAGTGAGGGTGCCTGTTAAAAATTCACATGCTTACGCCCATCCTGTGAAACTTTGATTTGGGATAAGTCTCGGGAATTTTGTATTCTGGAGTTTTCTGGGGAAATGTAGAGTGCTGCGAGTCTGGAATAGGGACGTGATCTTATCGGGGGCTTTCTAACAAGAACTTGATTACGCCTCAGAGTGAGGCTGCCAGTCCTTTTCTAATACAGGAGAAAGGGCTGTCGGGAAGGAGAAAATGCCCAACAGATGCACGGACGGTTGGTGTTGGGCCCTTCTCCCCCCCACCCCGCACCTGGCCAGAGCTTCACCTAGCCCCTCTGACTCACCTGTGTCTCTCCTTTGCAGCCAGTACCCCAACCTGTGGTCTGTGAGCAACGGCGCCATCACTCCGGGCTCCCAGACGCCAGCAGTGGCCAATGGGTTGGGGACCCAGTTCTTCCGGGGCTCCCCCGCACACTACACGCCCCTCACCCACACCGCCTCGGCGTCCTCAGGGTCCCCGCTTTACGAAGGGGGGGCCACAGCCACAGACATTCCTGACAGCCAGTACGATGCTGCGGCCCAAGCTCGCCTGGTGGCCTCCTGGACGCCAGTGTCCCCACCCTCCATGTGAACCTTTCTCCAGGATGCACTGACTTTTGTTGTGCCAGCTGCGTGCTGATCTGATGGATCTGCAGGTCAGACGGCGGGCTCATGGTCAAAGGAAGCAATGCAAGCCTTACCCTGTTACCATCGAGTCGGTTCCGATGTATAGCCACCCTATACAACAGTAGAACCACCCCCATTTTAAAATAGGAGGAGGAATACATGGCGTGCTGTTTCTGTATAAAAAGGAAACAAAGCACCACTGCTCTCCGCTCTCCCCTCTCCCGTCATCTGCCGTTGGGTCTAGATTGAGTGTACTTCTGAGCAGCGTTGGAGTGCTCCAGACGAGTTTAAGTATGAAAACAATGCAGTTGGCCTAATTCACCATGATTCATAAAAACAAATTACTTGCCAGGCTCAAGAGACTTCATTTCTCACCCAGCATATAGGTGACCCAAATTTACAAACTGCATGGGTGCAACTTCATTGAGGTACCAAGCACGCCTGATCCTCTTTGTTGCTTTTCCCTAGTTTTCAGGTCCCTGGGGTGCAGTTGGCCGTGATAGTCGCGCTGTTAAGGACAGAGTATATTCATAGTTGAAGGACAGCAGGTTTTAGGTGAAAGGAAAATTTGACTGCTCTGCCCCCTAGAATGTGTGTATTTTGAGCATATGTAGTTAATCTTTTGTATTGTTAAACCTACAATTGTATGTTGTAATTATGACAGAGTAGCCAAAGACAATCAGCAGAAAGCATTTTCTGCAAAATAAAGGCAATATACAAAGTTTGGCTGGTCTGGTGGTTATTCAGAACCCTCTCCTTTTGGGTGAGCTTTTGCCTTTTGGTCGTAGCTGCCCCCCAAGAGCACTTTATCATCTGTTCTGAACTTCCATGTGGCATCTAGTCAATTGAATTAGCAGTGGAATTTCTATGTATTTACTCAGTTCCAATTGCCACAACCAATGAAAAAGATTTTAAACAATTTCCAAGAGGGAAATATTCAGCACTGGATTGTGGACGGCAGGAGGAATGTAGACACCATAAAGTTATATGGGGTGTCCATGCGGCACACACGAGGACCTAAAAATGAGGTAACAAAGTTTGTAAGTGTTTGTTGCAGAAAGTAATTTGAGTGAGATGCCACTTGGACATACCTCCTGCTTTTTCCCAACGGTGAAAGAGCTCCACTTGTGCTGCCCGGGGGCCGGTGAAAGAGCTCCACTTGTGCTGCCCCGGGGCCGGTTCTCCGTCCCGTGGCCGAATCCGGGACGTTGACGATGCTTGTTCCAGTGTGGCGTTCTGAACCTCTGCTTTCTAAAAGCTTCAGACTGCCGGTAACTCAGAGCGCGGAGTATGGCAGGAGTGTCGGTAACAAGGCCATTACATTAAGTGAAGTGGGAGTTTGCTGTTGGGTGCCACTGAATCCATTCTGACTCAGTAGAACTACCCCATAGGGTTTCCTAGGCTGTAATCTTTACAGAAGCAGATCACCAGGTCTTAGGTGGAGCAGCTGGGTGGATTTGAACCACCAACCTTTTGGTTAGCAGCAGAGCACTTAACCACTGCGCCGCCAGGACTCCTTGAGGTGAGGCTGAGGGGCTTAGAGGAAGTCCTTGTTCTCAAGTCAGCATCACCAACTTCACTGCTTAGCCCAGAGCTCCGCCTCTTTAGGCCCCACCTGATCTTTCTAGAACGTAAAAATCTTCCCTATAAATGGGTTTAAACTCAGAAATTAAGTGCTAATCTTCAGATTTTCTAGTGTCATCTGTTTCTGTCTGGCAAGTGGGACCTGCTTTTTGCAAACTACTTTACCATTTGTGCTAGTCATCTAGTGCTGCTATAACAGAAATACCACACGTGGATGGTTTTAACAAAGAGAAGTTTATTTCCTCACAGTCAAAGTAGGCTAAAAGTCCAAATTCAGGGCGTCATCTCCAGGGGAAGGCTTTTTCTCTGTCAGCCTTCTTCTCTTCAGTGTTCCCCCGGACTAGAAGCTTCTCTGCACAGGGACCCCAGTCCAAAGGACGCGTTCCCGGCACTGCTTTCTTGATGGTATGAGGTCCCCCTGTCTCTCTGCTCGCTTCTGTCTTTTATATCTTGAGAGATTGCCTCAGGACACAATCCAGTCTTGTAGATCCAGGCCTGCCTTACTAACACAACAGCCACCCATCCTCCCTTGTTAACATAGAGGCAGGATTTACAACGTACAGGAAAATCACACAGCACCAGGAATCATGGCCCAGCCAAACTGATACACACATTTTTGGGGGGACATAATTCAAACCATGACACCATTTAAGATTTTTATTTATTTTTACATGTTGAAATATCCGAAGTCAGGAGATTCATTGACAAACATATTGGAAGCCCATTGTCCAAGTAGAATTGGGAAATGAAACTGGCGCTAGTCGACTGGGCTGTGGTTCCCAGCCAAACTCATGGGAAGCTTGAAAGGGTAAGCAGATGCTGGGGACTGCTGGAGAGGGTCAGGGAGGGGTTGGGGAGAGAGGAAGATGGGGACCACTGGGCCAGGGAGGGGTTGGGGAGAGAGGAAGATGGGGACCACTGGAGAGGGCCAGGGAGGGTTTGGGGAAGGAGGAAGACTCTGGGGACTGCTGGAGAGGGTCAGGGAGGGGTTGGGGAAGGAGGAAGACTCGGGACTGCTGGGGAGGGCCAAGGAGGGTTTGGGGAGGGAGGAAGATGCTGGGGACTGCTGGGGAGGGTCAGCGAGGGTTTGGGGAGGGAGGAAGACGGGACTGCTGGAGAGGGTCAGGGAGGGGTTGGGGAAGGAGGAAGACTCTGGGGACTGCTGGAGAGGGTCAGGGAGGGTTTGGGAAGGGAGGAAGACTCTGGGGACTGCTGGAGAGGTCAGGGAGGGTTGGGGAGGGAGGAAGACTCTGGGGACTGCTGGAGAGGGTTGGGGAGGGAGGAAGATGCTGGGGACTGCTGGAGAGGATCAGGGAGGGGTTGGGGAGGGAGGAAGACTGGGGACTGCTGGAGAGGATCAGGGAGGGGTTGGGGAGAGAGGCAAGGGGTGGACAGAGGTTGTCCAGGTCTCAAAGCATCAGGTATTTACCCCCTTGCCTTCACCTCTGAAAACTCTGCTGTCCTGAGTGCTCCTGGGAGACCAGGACCAGGACTCCTGTTCCCAGGATCCACCACAATGCCTGGCCCTTCGCAGGCCTTCAGCACGGGTTAATCAGCAACAGCTCAACCTGTGGGGAAAAGAGGAACCTGGGACGACTGAGACTAGACAGCTGTGGATGATTTAGGAATTTCTCTCAGAGTGCACCACCTGGGAACGCGGGTGTTGGCGGGGAGACTGAGTCAGCAGGCCCTTCCTTGTGCGACCTCAGCATCAGGTGGGGAGACTGAGTCACCAGGCCCTTCCTTCGGGGGAACTCAGCGTCAGGTGGGAGACTGAGTCACCAGGCCCTTCCTCGGGGGAACTCAGCGTCAGGCAGGGAAGACCCATCTCACATGTGGAAGACAGCAGGGTTTTGTCATGTTGGGGTTTGTAAAGCTGTCCCAGAATTTAAGCTCAAGAACTTGTATAAGAATAACCCAGGTGGTATCTCTGTGGCTGTACAGGGGGCGCACTGGCAGCTCTATAGCAGGGAGCCTGGAATGTGGTATGACAGACCTGGCCTTAAGAGCTCATCTGCCTGCCTTGCTGTGGGGCCCCAGGAAGGTTAATTGTCCACCCCAGAGCTTCAATGCCTTTATCTGTAAAAGTGGAGCAAGAAAATACATACGTTTCAGGACTGCGGTGAGAAATAGAGATGATAATAGTGGAAACTGTAATGTGTAGTGTGTGCTGTGGATGCCGTAGCTAAGGTTGTTGTTGTTGGGTGCCGTTGCGTTGGTTTTGACTCATAGTGACCCCATGTGACAGAGCAGAACTGCCCCGTACGGTTTTCTAGGCTGTAGTCTTTATGGGAGCAGATTGCCGAGTCTTTCTCCCATGGAGCCACTGGGTGGGTTCAAACTACCAACCTTTCAGTTAGCAGCCAGGTGCTTAACCATTATGCCACTGGCCTTCCTTATAGTTAAGATAACGAGCCAGTAAAGCATTGTAACTTTAGCTCTGTCTATGGGAGGCTTATAGTAATATTGCTACAGGTTAGAAACATATAGTCAGGATCCTTCTCAACTAAGTTAGAATGCAAACCCCTTCTATGTCTGCGATGAATTTTTCTGTACCAAGATTCAGGCAGGCTCCCAGTTATTCATGTGGAAGGAAAGATATATAACCCATCTTTTAAAAAAGACATAAAATCTGAGCTCCACATCTTTGTGCTTCCTGGTGTTACGGGGGAATGACTGTACGTAAGGTGAGACTGATCTTTAGAAAATGTTGTCAGCTGTTGTGTTAATGTGTGTGGCTTGATCTTCTCAGTGTATCTTTTTTCTTTGGGAGGTGGTGGTGGTGGTGGGTGAGGATTATGCTTTCTAAAAAGAAAAATAGTTTTTGAAACTTGTGTTTAACAGATGAGTGTGTAATAAACATATTTCTGACCAAGAATAAATACATGGGTAGTGAATAAGTGACATTTGTGGCACCAACAGTTAAGCAGTTTGACTGCTAGCCAAAAGGTTGGCAGTTTGAACTCGCTCGAAAATGCCTCTGAAGACAGCCTTGGCAACCTGCTTCTGAAAGGTCTCAGCCTTGAAAACCTAAGGAGCACAGTTCTACTCTCAAACACATGGGGTCGCCATGAGTCAGAATCGACATGATGGCAACTGTTTTTTTTTTTTGGTGGCTAGGTAATCAGGTTGAAAATTGAATCTGACCAGTGAAACCAAAACCCAGTAGAAAATTAAAGAGATCCGAATCTATTTTCTAGCATAATCTTCTATTTTTAAAAGAAATCTTCTGCGTTACTAAG